GCACAGGCGCACTGGTAGTTTCCCGACGCCCTAGATGGAAGAGGTTAGGACTCTACCACTGGGGAGACGGGAAGGCCGGGAACTGGTAGAACATTATTCTGTATAAGGGCATACGTTAAAGTACATCATCTCCCCAGGGCTCTACTCATTAATGGAACGATCCATATTCAGCGCCTCTGTGAGAGTTTCGAGATATGAACCCAGATGTCGGACCCCCCTTCCCCAGCCCGGAATGGTAGTGTCGGACTCGCTAACTGTCACGCGTGGGGGGCGGGAAGGAAGAGAGACTCTGAAGCTAGACTGTACCATGGAAGGGGAGAGGGGTGAGCGCGAGCAACGACATTCATTCTCTGCCTCACCGAGGCCCCGCCCGTGCGAAGCAGGAGGTGACGCTGCGCCCCCGAGCGGCGTCAGGAGGCGCTGGGAGCCCGGGCGGGGCTGGCGGCGGCGGGGTTACAAATCCCTCCTGCGCTGAGGCTCTGCGCTGCAGCCGCTGGCAGCCCGGGGCGGGGGGGCTTTAGGGGCCTTTGTAGCCTCCCAGCTCCGAGCTGCTCCAGGGGCTGAACTGGCAACGTGGGCCAGGGCCGGCTCCAGGGTTTTTGCCGCCCCAAGCAGCGCAAAAAAAAAAAAAAAGCCACGATCTGCGGCGGCAATTCGGCGGGAGGTCCTTGGCTCCGAGCGGGAGTGAGGGACCGTCCGCCGAATTGCCGCCAAATAGTTGGACCTGCCGCCCCTCTCTGGAGTGGCCGCCCCAAGCACCTGCTTGGCAAGCTGGTGCCTGGAGCCGGCCCTGACGTGGGCAGCCCGAGGGCTCCGTTCAGTTCCGGCAGCCTGTCCGGGGCTGCCGCTGGGCTGGGGAGGAGGCGCTACCCCAGTGCCCCCTGCCCCGTGGGGCCTGCGTGTACTGCTGCTGCCCGGTGCGGGTCACTTCTCCCCTGCTGGCCCCCTGCAGGGGCACCCCCGTGTCACAGCCCCAGTCTGGCAAACAGCGGTGGGGGTGATACTTGTGATACAACCAACCCTGCCATGTCCTTCTCACTTCCCAAGACGATGCGCTTTTGAGGAGCTGTGGCGGTGTAGACCTGTTGGACCCAGGGTGTGTGAGAGACAAGGTGGGTGAGGTAATAGCTTGTATTGGATCAACTTCTGAGGGTAAAAGAGGAGATAAGCTTTCCGTGTTGCTCCTCTTGAGACCTTCAGCTCTGGTGTTGATCAAAAGCTCTTCTTCTCTTTCATCAGTACAAGTTGGTCCAGTAAAAGATATTATCTCACTCACCTTGTCCCTCTTTTAAGGAAACTCATTTCATCAGGACAGAGGGCCACTTCTCCACCCTTTCCTCCTAACCAGCTGCTTTCCCAGATTCTCAAATGAGAATTATCTTGGTTGATATTTTCATACAGGAACTTTTGACAGGCCTCCTTGCTGCTCATTCGCTGGCAGAAGGCCCAGACATCTTGCATCGGCACATACATTTATATTTAAAATTGCATAAAGGCCTAATATTTATATGTAACATGCATAGTACATTTAAATTGCTTTTTGTCTTCAAAGCATTTTAATAAACATTAATTAATCTTCAGTACCCTTGTGAAGCAGGTAGGTATTATCTTCATTTTACAGATTGGCAAATAGAAGAAGCAGCAGCAAAGGTAAAGCCAGCTTCTGGGTGCTTCAGTTTTTGGCTCCCAACTTGAGACATCTTAGACCCATAGGCATAGTTTGACTTCTATATTTGGGGAGGCAACTCAAGTCAGGCCAATCAGGGAGCAAATTCCACAGTTGCCTGAGGCTTGCAGTTTGGGGGACAACATCCCCACCCCTGAAACCACACTCATGCTTAGACCTGGTTTTCAAAGGTGCTTTGCACATGCTGCTCCAAATAAGGGTCATAGTAGTTCCAAATTAGGCAGCCAAAAATTGACATGCAAAATTATAGACCACTTCTGACCATGTTAATGTAAGTAACTGTAGTAAGAGGAGGCCCTGAGCTATAAACCTTGGTATCAGATGCCTGGTATGAGGCCTAAGGCCTGAACTAAAGTAATGGTCAAGACTTTGCTAACATAAAGCAAAGTTAAGCTGTGAGCCAGAGGCAGGCCCTGCTCACAGAAGCTGGCAAGGAAAGGGCTGATGCTGCAAAAAGAGACATACCTAAAAGGTACTGGACACCAGATATCAGAACATTTGCATACTTGTACATTCCACACACAACAAGGAACAGGCTGACCCATCCCAATGACAGGGCCAAAAGGGTAACATGATGGATAGTGTTGTTTTGTTCGAACAAACATGTACAAGGTGAGAGGCAGCACCTTACTACGTAGAGGGGTTGTACCTTGCTGCGTAGAGGGGTTGCACCTCAATACGTCAGGAGTGATGTGTAACTTGTTTGTATCTGTGTATAAGAATGCATCCCTGAGTGGATATCTTTGTCCGGCCACGGGGGCAGTGGAAAGTCCCGCCACTGAGCCGGGTCCTTGCCACGAGGCACTTTCTCGTAGTATGCCCTGAATTAGGCTAAGAAACCTACAGGGAACTGCAATTGTGTCCAAGTTCGCAATGAACGTGGTCGACGTGACTTTGCATCTTACTAGACTTTGTGGTTATTGGGGGTTCTCTTCGGGTCTGCTGTGTCAGCTATCTGAGCAGAGCTGGGGCAGCACACAGAGGGATCACACGCACGCAGCCGAGTGATATCAACATAGGAGAAAGCAGAGCACCACACCGGTAGCATCTGACAACAGTAACTTGTATAAGGTCACAAAAGGCAGTGTCTGAGGTAGTCACATGTGTGATCCATCAGCTCATCCTGCCTCTTCATACTGTCACAGCAGTTACAAACATTGTACTCTTACCTGACTGGATAAATAAACAGAAATTCAGCTTCAAGACTGAAGTTAACAGAAATTCAGCTTCAAGACTGAAGTTAATATTGGTTCACTATAATTCCATAAAATATATCCCTACCACTACAGGTGTGATAAATGAAAGACGGGGGATAGCTCCCTTTTATGAACACCCAGCCAGCCAATTAGTTACAAAATCCTTGTTAGTAGCTGTTCTTTACTTGCTTTACCTGTAAAGGGTTTAAAAAGCCCATAGGTAAAAGGAAGGGAATGGGCATGTGACAAAAAGAGCCAATGGGAGGGCTAGAACTTTTTAAAATTGGGGAAAAAAATTCCCTTTGTCTGTCGTTGCTCTCCGGAGAGAGGGGACAGAGCTGAAACTATGCTGTAAAAAGCATTAAGCCAGGTTTGAAAAATCATCAGATCATACCTAGAAACTACTTATTGAAAATCCCATATATGTAAGTAGATCAGGAAATGTCTAGGAAGATGCAATTAGGTTTATTTCTTTGTGGCTTGTGGACTCCTCTGTGCTAACCCCAAATGCTTTTGTTTTGCTTGTAACCATTAACCAGGACCTCAAGAAAACCATTCTTGATGCTTAATTATTATATTTGCTCTTTTTAAAACTAGCAATAGCCTAAGTTCCAGATGAGTAGAAAGAGCACAAATCCCAATGACTTTCAAGGTACTTTTGAAAATACCACCATCAGTCCCCAAGCGTGTAGGAGTGCATGTAGGCATTTCTAATATTTGCCATGTGAGAAAATGAAACATGGAAAGGCAAATTGTGATCATCTTCCTCAGTGGGAGTGTGTGGGTGCTCAGCACTTTTGAAAATCAAGCCATGTATCTAGGTACCCGAATGTGGGTTTAGGAGCCTAAGGCTTTGGCTATACACAGAGCTTTTGTGGAATAAGCTATTCCCCATATGGACACTTCCAGAATAAAAGTGACTTTATTTTGAAATAACTATTTTGCTCACATAGCTCACTTTTATTCTGGAATAGTGTGTCCATGTGGGGGAATTACTGTATTTTGGAATAGCTAAATTATACCAGTAAAACTGGTATTTTTCTGTGTAGACAAGGCCTAGCTTTAGACTCCTATTTTAAAAAAACTTGGCCTGTTTGCCTGTTTATAGACAGGCTCTTCCAGGAGGCAGATGAGTGAACCAAGCTGGAAAGGCTACCACTCATCCCAAAGTGCTGCTAAAATGATAATGTTGATACACAGAACTTAAACTTTACATCTTAAAAGTGCTATACTATCCTTAACTAAGCTTCACACCACCCATGTGTGGTAGATAAAATATTCCTATTTTATACAATGGAAAACTGAGACACAGGGCTGGATTCATTGCAGGTTTCACCAGCACAGAGAACCTCCCGCAACTTTCCTCCTGTCTGGGAGGGTCTGCAGCTGGCCAGCACAGTTCCAC